TATTTTGAAGAAACTAGAATATAAAACATGTTTTCAGTTATTTCACCTTTTTTTGTTAAGTACATAACTCCACATGTGTTCATTCATAGTTTTGATGCCTTCAGTGAGAATCTACAATGTAAATAGTCATGAAAATAAAGAAAACGCATTGAATGAGAAGGTGTGTCCAAACTTTTGGCCTGTACTGTATTTCAATGGTACTCAGCTGTCTTTAATGTGAACTTATCTCCGGACCCAGAGACTACCTTGTTCGGCTATTCCAACGCATTGGAATGTCTGGGCACTGATGCACGTACTGCTCTAGTGAATGGTATGATGATCGCTAAAAGGTATATTCTGAAGTCATGGAAATCTGACTTTGTTCCTCGGTTTAAAATTTGGCTTGGTGAACTAACAGGTATGTTACATGTGGAAAAGTTGAGATATGATTTGTCTGGGAACCCTCAAAAGTTCCTCAAGATATGGAGCCCAGTGCTGTTACGCCTTAAGCTGGGTTCACACCAAACGCGAATTCGCAAATTCACGCGTCAAGATTACATACAAAGTCAATGCAAAGACGCGATTAGACGCGTCGGCGCGATGGACACGTCTAGCGCAACGCGATGGACGCAATAGAGGCATCCAGTGCGGCGCGATAGACGCGAAATTCGCGTCCAACGCCTCATCGCTCGAGTTGAAAATATTGAACTTTTGAGGCGAATTCGCGTGACGCTGTGTCGCGAAAGCCAATCAGCGTTGAGATTCTCCCAACGTCACTGGCGTGTGTCAACAACGTCCAGTTGTTGACACAGCAATAAACTGCTACTCACCGGAGACAGATGGACAGACGCTCCGCAGCTGAAATGGAGCGCCTGTAGTTGGTGTCCTGCCGGGAGATCCTGGCGCCAACCCTCGCCAACAGGTCCTCAAACTGGGCCCCAGTCAGCCTGAAGTACCGCTGAAAGCGGCTATCATCCAGACGGAGTTCCTGGAAGAGGTGATGAAACTCACTGAGCTGGATGCGCTTCTGCAGGATAGGGTGAACCCAAAAACGATGGCGTTTGGCCCTCCGATGCATTTGGGACTTCCAAAAATGGTCAGGCGTCCAAACTCGGGTGTTATGGGCGGCGCGTTACGAGCGATTAAATTGCGTTCATCGCGTTTGGTGGGAACACAGCATTACCGTGCGTTCACACCAAACGCGATGGACGCGATGTCATCACCAGTAACACGAGTATCGCGTCGCTTGATCACAAATGTCACCTTTTTGATCATCGCTTCAATCGCGATGATGCAACCCTCCTCCCGCAATTCTCTTCACCTCCCGCTATTTCTGTTGTGGACATCTGATTTGGATCGGAGACCCAAACGCCGCCGTGTCTGGGTTCACAATATCCTCCAGAAAAGCACACAGCTGGGTGAATATCATCACCTCCTGCAAGAGCTGTGTCTGGATGACGGTCGTTTCCAGCGAGGAGCGCCTGTCCATCTGTCTCCGGTTAGTTGCTTATAATTTCTTTATGAAAATGAACGCTGATTGGATGTCGCGGCACAGCGTCACGCGATGTCGCTTGTAAAGTTCAAATTTTTCAACTTCAAGCGACATGCGATGAGGCGATGGACGTGTCATCGCTTCATCGCGTCGCTCTTATTGCCTGAAACGCGTCACCCGAAGCGACATCGCGTGTCATCGCGTCATTTACACTGGTTTTGAATGGAAACTTGTGGTGTTCATCGCGTCCATCGCGTTTGGTGTGAACGCACAGTTAGAATGTGATGGACATTTACTGCTCACAGATACACCCCTTTGTCTTCGCAAAGGTATAGTTAGAACTATTGTAAAGAAGTGGAATCTTAACATCTAAGCAAACCATTTGTTGCCTTCCCCTTGTCTTATTTTTTGTCTTTGTTTTGTTTTTGTATTATTATTTCTTTTATTTTATTATTTTTCTGTCTTGTGTGAACACCTTGTGGTGCTGTTGTCTCTTGGGTGGGTGGAGGGAAGAGGGAGGGTGGGTGGTATTGGTGGGACTTGTAAATTGCCCTGTCTTTTCGATTCTGTACTTGTAAGTTATTTACTGTATCTGTATGTATAAAAAAGTGCTATAAATAAAATATTAAAAAAAAAGAAATCTCTCTTTTCTTCTCATATGGAATATAATAGTTAAGTTTTATATTTACTTACTTATTTATTTAATTATCAATCCAATTATTTACTTATGTATGTATTTCCCCTCTGATGAGTGACACTACTCACGAACGTACTGACCCAGAACTGGAACAACAGTAACAACAGGTCGTTTGTAAAGCTGCATTAACACTGAGTTTAGAATGTGATCTACAATGCTTGGGGGAGAGTTGGGTAATGTTTTTGTTGTCGTTATTACAATATGGAGATATGTTGGCTGTTTTTGTATGACATTGATGATGAGCTGAAGTAATGGATCAACTGAGCAATCCATAATATGATAGGATTCAATTACTGTAAATGTGACTTTGAATTTAGCCCTTATACCTACTTGATCTCTGTTTTTTGTTTTGTTTGTCTGTGCCTGTTTGACTAAAACTAAATAAAGATAAAGTTCAAAATTTGAGAGAAATATTATCTATTAAGAGCATAATTTTGTTTTGTTTTATGTTTTGGAGTTCCACAGGGTTTTGTGCTCAGACCAAATCTGTTCACTTTATATATGCTTCCCTTAGGTAACATCATTAGAAATCACTGTAAATTTCCATTGCTATGCGGATGATACACAGTTGTATTTATCAATAAAGCCAGAAAAAATGGATCAATTAACTAAACTTCAAAAATGCCTTAAAGCCATAAAAACCTGGATGAGCTCCAATTTCCTGAAGTTAAATTGAGACAAAACTGAAGTTATTGTTCTTGGCCCCAAACACCTCAGAAACTCTTTATCTGATGATATAGTTTCTCTGGATGGCATTACTCTGGCCTCTAGCACTACAGTAAGAAACCTCAGAAGCCCTTTTTAGATAGGAATTGTGCAAATTTGCAGGAAAGTCCAATCAGTCTTTTTTCAGCATTGGCAGTATAAAAACAAAATGCCGCCTGCCTACTTTTGTTTATACAGAATGCGCCTTTTTCGGGGCAATGGGGGGCGTGAGCAAGTAACAAAACGTGTGGCTCAGCGTGTGACGTAAACAGTGACGTGGGAGGGAACCCACGGCTGGTCAGGTGGCGATAGTCAGGTGGCGATAGTCAGGCGGCGATTCGCCTGAAATTGGCCCAATCTTCACCGTCCCCATCATCTGACGGTTAATGGCCTCTTTGTTTGCGAGAGCAAGGAGGGCACGCAATGCCTTGTCTCCCCAGTTGCTCATCTTTACTGTGTCTGTCAGGTTTGCGTTTCCCTCTTGCTACTAGCTGCTCGCTAATTCCTGCTATTAGCTGTTTCCTGTTTATCCACTGCCAGTGGCTTGCACGAGCGGCATCATCAACAGCTCCTCCCACAAGTCTTCAATTGCCCCTCTCGTTGCGGAAGGCCGCCTTGGTCTTTTTAAACTAAAAGGATTCCACCAATATGACTACCCTACGAGGCGGAAAATTGGGCTCCTCGGATCAACTCGCCATTCCGCCTCTGTGTGTATAAACACTCACAGCTGGCCAGCAAAACGGCCCAACATTCACGGAAAATCTGGCAGTGTAAAAGGGGCTAGAGTAATATTTGACCAAGGTTTGTCTTTTAACTCCCATTTAAAACAAACCTCATGGACTACGATTTTTCATCTGCATTCATATTGCGAAAATTAGGCCTATCCTGACCCGAAAAGATGCAGAAAAATTGGTCCATGCTTTTGTTACCTCTAGGCTGGATTACTGTAATACCCTTTTATCAGGTAGCTCTAGTAAGTCTTTAAAAACTCTCCAGCTAATAAAGAACGCAGCAGCACGTGTACTGACAGGAACTAAGAAACAAGATCACATTTCTCCCGTTTTAGCTTCTCTGCACTGGCTCCCTGTAAAATCCAGAATTGAATTTAAAATCCTACTCCTAATTTACAAAGCTTTAAATGGTCAGGCTCCGTCATATCTTAGAGAGCTCATAGTGCCATATTATCCCAAAATGAGTTTTTAATCTCCTTCAGCAGAGAAAACACTTCATGACAAGAGTAATAAAAAAAATGTATAAAACTGAAGAAGGGAGATTACCGCACTGACTAGGCTTCAGTGATTTTAAAAATGTCAGAAATAATTATAAAATACTATGAATTAAAATACTAAAAGAAACTATAAAAATATAAAATATAAACACACACGGACAGCGTCGTCTGAAACAACCAAGTTTAAAAACAAGATAAAAACAATGACACATAATGAAAAAGAGCAGCTTTCGCTACATAGGTTACCCTCAACAGGGAGTACACCTGGCGAGCAGCGTACCAGCACGGCACCAATAGCAGGTGAGCAGCAGCAGGAGAAGTACCGCTTTGCTGCGCTGCCACCTGCATTTATGCACAGCTGAGTAAAAGTTCACGTTCAGCTCCTAATGAGGAGACTCGCTGCAGCTGCGTGACCGTGACACCGGAAGTGGCGGGGCAGACCTAACCTGCCGGTTACACCCTGTCAGTGGGTTTTTTGGAGAGTTTTTCCTTATCCGCTGTGAGGGTCCAAAGGACAGAGGGATGTCATATGCTGTAATGCCCTCTGATGCAAATTGTTATTTGTGATATTGGGCTTTATAAATAAAATTGATTGATTGATAGATAAGAAAAGTCTTAAATCTTTAACTTAAACCTGTGAAAAATAAGAGCAAAAACTTAAGTGTTGCATATATGTATGTATGTATGTATGTATGTATGTATGTATATATGCTATTAACCCCAAACGTTACCTGCACTGTAGTACTGTAGTTAGAGTCATAGAGGTTACAATAACACAGTTCAGCGTAAAGAGCATTAATGATGGAATGATTTACTTTGTGAATAAAGTCTTCTGGAAAAAAATGCAGCTATTCCACAAAAAGAGACGGGCTGTAATATGGCGCACACACAGAGGCTCTCGACTCACAGGTGGCCAATCAGCTTTCTCTATTCCTGACAGCTGGCCAATCACAGAGCCCGCATCAGGCTGAAAACTATTCAACATGGAGACAACAGTTGAAAAGCTTGAGGCGATGGTAAGCACAGTGCAAAACTATCTGATTTACTGTGATATTCGTTTTCCGACATTGATTGTATCTTTGTGTAAAGATTCCAGAGACAACTAGCAGCTCATTAATTATCGACGAGGTATTCTGAAGGCATGCCTATCACAGAAGGCGCAATCAGCTCATGGTTGTCTCTTTGTATTCATATCAACTCAAACTCCTTTGCGCCATTCAGCAGGCCTGTTTCTGTTCGTAAATATGCCAACCTCATTTATAAGCCTCTGTCTCATTGTGTAACTGACTGTCACAACAGCGACTATCGCATTCAGCTTAAGGCCAGTTCAGACGGAACGATATGCTTCCCAGAGCCGATTCGTACTCGCTTCAAAATGTAGTAGCCTAATATGCCCCCCATTAAACATGGACACAGCTGTTGTTCCGCTTTGTAAAATATCCATTTAATGTAGCATCATAACAACAAGCTAGCAGTCCATGAACACAGTTAGCCACAGCTCAGTATGTGGATCGATGACACTCGTATTACGGTAACGTTAGGTAACAGAGAACAGCTCAAACATGTTTCCGTGTGGTTTTAGCCTGATAGTAGCCGTTTCAAAAACTATAAAAAAGACAAACTTGTATTCCTAGCGTGCTTTTACAAAAGTCTACGATAATGCTCTTTACTCCGCCGTAATGATCTGATGGGAAGCAGAGGAGGACTGTTGTACGGCTATTTTTAAACGCAGCGTACAGACGATATGAATAGTGATTAGTAGAGTGAATTTGTCAACCTATAGTATGAAGAGAGCAGAAAACCAGATAGAACATGTATGCCTCAGTACTCTCAGATTAAGGTTCCTACATTTGCCTTTTCTTAAGATTTCAACAACATCTTACTTACCATTTCCCAAATTAACAATACACTGATTTTAAATAGGTTTACTATGCAGTGTGTTCATACCCTGTTGGCACCGAACATCAAAATGACGTCAGCAGGACGTTGTACTTATTGTACAGATGTTAAAATTTGGTTGAAATGAAAATCAGGTTGATGATATTTTAAATGTTTAACTACGTTACAATTTCATATTGTGTGGAAGTTAACATTATGATGTGATGTGATATGAAGCCCCTTTTACACTGCCAGATTTTCCACGAATGTTGGGCCGTTTTGCCGGCAAGCTGCGAGTGTTTAGACACACAGAGCCGGATTGGCTGATCTGAGGTGCCCAATTTTCCGCCTATAGTTCCGTGTATCAAACTTCTTCTAAAATGACTAAAAAGGACTCTCATTTTTCGAATTAATGTTTAAACATGTTTGTTTTAAATGCATGTGCAGAAATGCCAGCTTCAGGGTTTCTGTAACGTTTATTTGTTCACTTTTACCGTAGGCTACTGACCCCCTATAGACTTCAGTTGTATTCGCTAAGCTAAGCCACAGTGCTAATCACTGAGACCCAGCCACTGGTCGTACAGACACAAAAAAGATATTGTTCATGTTGTCTCAATATGAAAATGATAGAGAAAGGGCATAACTCCCAAATCATCGGAGTATTCCTTTAAAGAAGACGAGAGAAAAAGAGAGGGAGAGCAAGCAACTGTGGTCCAGCAACCTAGAGAGTGAGTGAAGAGAGGGAGCGCTGGTAGCAAGAAAGCTGGTGAATCAGATCAATAAAACGTTATTTTCTGATTGTTTCACAGCGGTTATGTTCACCCCCACACACCTCCACTCAACACTGAGGCTGTACTCCGCACCACCTGATTTGGTCTGAATATTGTCGCAGTCACGCTGCGTCTCTGCGGGGCTGAACCCTCAGAGTGTGCAGCGCAGCAGAGACAGACAGCGGAGTTATATAAACTCGTTATGTTACTGTAATTGCCGTAAAAGCTTTGTAAATTAAAAAGCCAAGAAGAGTAATTTATCAATGAGATCCGTGCAAAAGATGGACAGACATGCCATATTGCCGTAAAAAGTACAATTTGCATCACAACGATATAAATGATAGACATTTTTCTCTCGTCACACGATATATATCGTCATATCGCACAGCCCTATCGCAACATATTTTAAATCGTAATAATATTAGATTGTGACTCAAGTACTGTGATAATATGGTATCATGGATTGTCTGGTGATTCACACCCCTAGTTGGCATTTATTCTGACTTTGAATTTTGGTCACGTGACAACATAAATTCAACCAAATATCACCATTGGAAGACGTGGGTGGCCAGCTGGGTGCTTGAATTGTTATAAAGTAAAGTATGAAATAGTATCCAGCAGTTGACCCCTCACTCAAAATCACACCACATGGTGGCACTAAAGGAAAAGTCATTTTGGGCCAATCCCAAACCCATCTAGTCAATGTTAGGATATTTGACTGGATAAGTGAAAACCTTGACCTGCTGGCTGGCAGGAAAAGTCTAGGGATCAGTAAAATCACCAGGATTATCCTCTGGGGATCATGAATGTCTGTCCAGTGCCCCTTTTATATTGTACTGCTGGTGACCCTGCTAGAAAAGCAGTGCAATGTTAAAAGGGCATTGGCCAGAAACAGTTACAAGCAATGGAAACGTTTCCTAACTCTGAAGCTTCAGCTGTTGGCAGGTGCTCTGACTTCATTGCACTACTGTATCAGACAGCTAGCAGTGCAATAGTATTGTCAAAGCATCTGAAAACTGCAGAGACCAGCTGCAACTACTTTCACACAGACTGTATCAGGTCCAGTGGACATGTTTGATAGACCATGGTGTGGTCTGAGAATGCACAAGGCAAAACAGTATACAGTTTGAGTCATAAAAAAACAGATACATGCATCAATGTGTTCATGTGTTGGCTACTAACCTACTCTTTGTGCTACATGCTACGTGGCAGCATTATCAGGCGTCAAACAATAACTGAGAGATAATTTCTACACTGCCAGGCTTTATGGCACAAAGTCTCCGGAGTTTGTGATGTAAGACTGGCTTAATTAGCTGATCTCACTTTATGAAATACCATTTACAGAATGTAACAAGTGCCACCAGTCTCATTAAACACCACTGTAACCGTGATGACCATAGCTGGACCTATCACCACTGCCTGCTTTAAAATTCATGGTTTTATCTCCAGACACTGGATATGCACTGTCTGGATATGCACCTGTTGCACATTGAATTATTGTGGATTTTGAGGTTCTGTTTGGCATTTTTTTACTTTCAGAAAAACCCAGCCCTACTTCCAAGCAGTAGGAAGCAGGGTAAAGTTGTCCTCAGCAGTATACTACCAAATTGTAAAGCTGATTGTCTTTGCAGTTCCTGAAGTCAGAGGCAGACCTGGACTACATTGAGAAGCGTCTCAAGCTGGACTTCATCAACAGCGCAGCAGAGAATGGATGTCCTGCTGAGGTGATAACTGAAATAACAGCTGCTATTTCTCATAACTCTTTCACACAACTTAAGACAGGACAGATCCCACACCGTCTGCAGTCTGCAGGACATTAAATGGCTACTGTAGTTCAAATCAATTATTGGCCAGTATTTGACTGTTTCTGAAAAGCCATTGTCACTGACTTACTGACTGAAACCCTCAAATATAAACACAGTGTATAGAGCTCGTAAGTCACGCCCCTTCCGGTAGACCCCCATCGGACCTCTAGGCTCAGAAAATATGAATGGCAGTCAATGGAGAGAAAATTGTTATTTTCTGGTCCCAGTCATTAAATGCCTTGGATTACACAAATGTTTTGTGTGGGTCTAAATAATTTTTTTCATGTTAAGAGTTTGACAGTTTATTGTATGATTCTTCAAACAACGTAATGAGAAAGACTACATGTCGCCTATGTGATGTCACATCATCACACTTTCCCTCCACTTCTCAACTCACAGTGCTGCTGCTGCGTCTTCTGGCACTATCTACAGAGCCATCAGATCAAGATGGCGGTGTGTTTCGTACCCGAATGTCACCATTACAACAAGAACGGCTGTTCTTTCTTTTGATTTTCTTTCGAGGTGGTGAAGTGTACCAGAGACACAGCCATGTTCCGAGTGCGAGTGGTGACGTATATCATACGCGTCGAGAGCAGCAAAGAGCTGTAGTCCACAAAGCGCTCTCACACAAAACCTAAAAGTATCAAACTTCTTTCTGCTAAATTGTAGCCTTCTTTGCACGAAAAAATATATTAAAAATTCACAAACAGCATATGTGAAATTCATGGCACAATTCAAAGGGGACCAGAAAATAATTTTCATCTAGCCATTGGAATACATTATGAGAAATCGATTTTTAAGGTCCCATGTACCGGAAACGGAAACACGCAACTTACGAGCTCTATTGTGAACATGTTGGTAGGTTTTTCATTTATGTTTTGAAACACATCACATCAAGTCACCTGTGGGGTTTCCCCATTTCTCATCCGTATGTATAAATTTTGATTCTTCTAGTTTTTTCTTACATAAAGAAATATAATGTAACACAAGACAAATATTACAGTAATTAATTAGAGGTTATGGACCAGAACAAATCAGGGGTAGAACATTTTCATAAATGAAAAGTAGGAATATTTAGTTATGTCATGTTTCATTCTTTGTATACTTTTTGAAATAAAGAGACTAAACTTCATAAAACTACCCTTCATAATTATAAGCCATTGTAACTAGAGATCAGAAAGCAACTGAGACTGGATGGTTGAACAATGATTGAGTGTGTCCCTGCAGGAGAACCCGGCAGTGATGCTAGAGAACCTGAGAGCCATCAAGGCCAAACACACAGAGCTGTGCTCTCAGGTGAAGGAGATCGCAGCTGCACAAAAAGAATCGATGGACTCCATCAGAAATAACCTCAGTAGTGCCATGGAGCTGGTCCAACACTTCCAGCAGACTACTGATGTGGAGGTACCCACACACCAATCGTACACTCACTGGTCACACACAACTCTATGCACTCACACTGAATACATAGGAAAGTGTTTCATATTCTAAAACCCTGTCCTAACTGAATGCGACACAAGCAAGCATCAGCTACTAAATCTGTTTGATTGCATTGTTTTCTATTGGACTGTCCTAACTGCCCACAAGCAATGCAGTGCAATGTGGCATGCCGTTTGAGCTGACCTAGCTTGCTCAGCAGAACTTACTAGCAAGCTAGGTTGTTTTCCAAAGTTGAGATGGTGTTATGATGCAGTATAGAAGCTACAACAATGATTTCCATAAGTTACCCCTGATATTGTTGATGTATGAATAATAAGGAAACATGTACTCACCCACCTTTTCAGTGGACTCTGAGACCACAGCTGCTAGGTGTGTGGTTTGTTTACATGACATGACCGGAGTTCCATATGTATTGGATTAGCGCGGGTGAGTGAGCGTCTTGCCCCACACATAGGTGCCTATAAATGGCCAGTGAAATGCCCTGAATTAATATTCAGTAGTAAGAAACTTCATGAAAAATAGCGTGGCAAACAGCAAGAGAAGGTTGGAGAGGTTGATAACAGAAAGACAATGTTTGGTAGATTCAGTATGGGCATTACTACGGCTAAAAATGCAAGGGAGTGGCAGCTGGTGGCAGATGCTTTAAATGCTGCTGCCTCAAACTGTGTCAGAAGTCAAGAAGAAGTGTTCCGATATTAAGGTGTTAAGGCTTTTTGTGGTGATTTATTTAGACAGAAAACCAAGGGATGTTTTGAGCTAACTGTCAGACAGTTTCAGTGACTGTGGAAAAAACACTCTAAATGAGGGATACAGTTGCCATAGCTGTTTAACAAACAATATGATTTTCTTGACTCAAATGATTTCTTAAAATACGCCTTGTTTTCATAAACGACGCATCGCATCCAGACGCTGGCGCGCAGCAGCAGGAGCAGGAGCAGCAGCAGGAGCAGGAGCAGCAGCAGCATTTGACTCAAATGCCTGGGTATAGGGCTCGGGGTCTGACATCCGTGTCAGGCGGTAGTGGCACGTTTTTCAGCTGTGCCACATTGTACAACACAGCACCGGGACAGCTTGGTTCCTGTGGGTGCTTCTTGGTAACGCAGGGCTCGACGCAGCGCAAAGATCCAGCAGCACTGCATGTGGCTGTCGGAACCAGTTCATAAGCCACTCATCATCGTTGGCCAGTAGGTCTTGCTGGTCCCTGAATGTCCGCACCCTCCGGAGTCTCCCATCCACCACATCCTCTAACAGTGCCAAATAAGCCATTGTGCGTCTTATGCACTGTAATCGCTGCTTTTTATACCCACCCATGTACTGATTGATCGCATGTGAAAAGGAATTCCCTGACTGCAACTGAGGGGCAATCACGTCATATAAATATTTATAATGATGATTAAACACGTTATTTGTTTACACTTTTTCTAACAGTGACACAGCACTTTACAGTGACATAAATTACAAAACAGACACATTATTAAACACAATATATTGGCTCATAGAGGATAATAGTGACATTCTGCACTTGGATCGACCCAAGTAAGGCATGGAAAACCGGTCCATTAGATTATTTGATAATTACAGAACATACTTGGGGAGTTCTTTTAAAAAAGGATACCTGTTTGTATTTAGTTTCCTAACTCGTGTTTTTCATGTGTGCACATCAGTCAAAGACATATCTATTCATTTATTCACGTTTATCCGTTTCTGCAAGTGCACTCTTCATATATAAATCATGAGGGGTCATTTCTGTCTTTATTTGAAACAGTTATATCAAATTCACAACAATTCTTCCTTTTCATCTTTCTGCCACGGGGGTCGCAGTCTCTCATGTCTACTGTTTTTGTGCGCACGCATGGGTCAGAGCTTCCGTGGAAGACCGCCCATTTTCTCGTCAAGTTTGTTTTTTATAGATCCAAAAGTTTGCGTAGAAAGTGGCGTACACGCTTGGGTTTTCTGGAGCCACTCTGCAGCTGCGACCGGGCAGACAGATTCCCTCTTCCCCAGTTGGCCTATAATAGAGACTCGTGTTGGCAGGTGCCTCCTTAGCAGCTATTTTATTCTCCAAATTAAATCTACCTCTTAGATGTCTAAAAGATGATTTTGTCATGCGTAACTCATTTAAGATCTTGAATCAGATTAAGGGTGTGCTGAATCTCCTCAGACTGTTTATCCACGCTCCTATTTGTCAGAATCCTTGTTTCAAGCCAGGCACGATGGATGCTGCTTTCGCACAGTGGTCAGACAAAGGCCTATGCGCTATCAAGGACCTTTACATTAACGATAACTTTGCTTCCTTCGCTCAACTGCAGGCAAAATTTGGTCTCCCTTCCAGCCATTTTTTCCGGTATTTGCAAGTTAGAAATTTTGTCAGGCAGTCGGTCTCACACTTCGAAACGATGCCCGAGCAACATAGCTTTTATGAAGTTATGACCAAACCTCCTACTTCCAAACGCTTAATCTCTCAATTTGTTAATCTTTTTAGCTTGGCAACCCCTTCTCTGCATATTAAAGAGGCATGGATATCAGACACCGGTGATGTGATTTCAGATGCGCTATGGGCCCAGGGACTGAATAGGATCAAAACTTGTTCTATCAATGCCAGACTTATTCAGTTCAAAGTCATCCATCGGCTACATTTTTCCAAGACCAAACTGAATAGGATCTTTCCCTCTGTCTCTGCTACCTGTGATAAATGCAAATTAGATGACGGGACTCTGGGTCACCTTTTCTGGTCCTGCCCTAAGCTTAGGAATTTTTGGGATGACATTTTTCATTTGTACAGTGATATATATAGCAAACAGTTGATTCCTGACAGTCTTCTGATAATACTGGGCTCCAACTTCTTTCTCACTCTTCCCTTATCACTTCAACAAGCCCTCATGTTTAGTATGGTTGTAGCAGAACGGGTTATTCTGAGAGAGTGGAAATCAGTTTCCCCTCCTTGTTTCAAAAAATGGTTGAATGACATGGTTTCTTGTATATATTTGGAAGAAATTCGATATACTCTGTTAGACACTCATCACAAGTTCCTTGATGTTTGGGGTCCCTTTATTGAGTATATTCGAAGGGATAGGCAGCATCCTCAGAACTAACTATACTGGACTGTATCACTTTGTACTGTATTGACTGCACCGTGCTTTGAACAGTCAAGCTTCTAGTCTTCTTGACCTCACTTGGTCTCAGTTTTGTGGACTCTGTCTTGCACTGTATAATCCACTTCTGGACTCTTGAATCAGTGTGTAAACTGACATGCATATTTGTATTTTTGTATACATTTCTGTGGGCTGGCAGCTTGTTTTGTTTTGTTTGTTTTGTTTATTATTGTCTGTGTGTTTTGTATGTGGTTTAAACTTGAAAAACTATAAATAAAGTATTAAAAAAAAAGAAAGTGGCGTACGCCTTGTTCTGTGTGTACGCCACGTTTATAAATGAAGCCCCAGGTGATTTAAATTGGTAAAAGAAGGCCCAAAGAAGCCCATTTGCAACGCTGCTCGTTGCAGGTGGGCTCCTAATTACGGTGACGGACGCAAAAATGTGTAAATGTGAATGGCCCAATCTAAAGCCAGTGTTTAGTTTGTCCATTCCGGGCTACTGTAGAAACATGGTTGACTCCATAAATGAGAATCCACCCCGTGTCGACATAAACAGCTCATTGTAAGGTAACAAAAACACAACAGTTCCTATTTTCAGGTGATAATACACTGAACAAAACACTTCATTCATTTTGAGTTCATCACTGTTCTCACTGCTCCCTCTTGTGAGGCCCTTTCTCCTAAAAGCTATTCACGAGCACTACTCACACTCACACACATCACAAATGTTAGCAGATTGATGTTTCACAAAAGATTGCAATAGCAAATGCATTTGCAAGATCTACAGGGCTTTCCCATGCTTGGGACGCAAATATGGTGTTTGTTTAGGGAAATGTGTCAAAATAAACATGAAGTGGTTTTTCATCATACACAGATATATAACAGCTGTTTCCTTGTTAACATGCTGCAGGTCCAGCCACTAACGGAGTCAGAGCAGGAGTCAGCTGAGCTCCTGGGTTCAGCTGTCACTGACACCACGACACAGGTGAGACACAATCAGCTCCCACAGATCTTTCTGTCTATTGCTAACCTTTTGGACAAAGTCTCACTGAGCAGAAATGTTCTCTTCTAGGAGTGCTCAACATGTTCATGACTACATATTGAGCCAGTTTATGGTGATGAAGCGAGATTAATCCTGAGATATTAGTTAGAGTTAAATGTAGGGCCTTGTACTGTGAATTAGATAATATGCCTATATTCAATAAAACTTAATAGTTTTTACAATTATTTACTGAGCTCCTCCAGGATGTGTCTGTTACCTGTTCATCTTAAAGGCCCTGACACATCAAGCCAGTGGTAGGGGTGTACTATATCATCTTGTTCATGATAATACCGGTATAATTTTTAATATGATATGAAAAATGTATACTGTGAAACTCGCGATATTTCAACTTGTTGACATTGACGTCATACTGTTAACCACGGCAACAGCAAGCATGGCTTAAAGTGAAATTATTAACGACTCTGCGGTAGTTCCAAAAAGAGGAGCAGCTTCAGTAGTGTGGAATAAACTGTGGCGTTGTGAGGCCTGGCCGTCCTGAATGTTTTATGAACAGCCCTGGACTTCTCAGACTCTTTTAGCAAGGGAGGGAACTCATTCAGTGGCTCATCTGGCAGTAGCACAGCATCTCTCCCTCTCCTCTCTTGCCGTGCACACAGGAGTCAGTGTTGTTTTGTCATAAATCTCTAGTAAGGTAAATCTACATGCTGCTCGCGGCTTGACAAAAAACTACATATATGTGAATGTGCAATAGTTATGATAGCATCTATATATATGTAACCTGTCACAGGTTAAATATATAGATCCCGCAATACATTATTTTTGTATTTGGGAGCTGTTTAAATGTGTAATTTTTGGTAGATTTTATTTTGTTGTTCTATTTATATTGTATACAGAATCTGAATCTCACTCTGTATTACGGTAGACTCACAAGTCAGTCTTTAGACGCTTTGCTTAACTAAAGACTAATGTCTTTCTCCCTGATTTTGTGTTTAGATGGGCGGATACAGTTTCAGAGTTTAAAAAAACTCCCTACGTTGCAGAACCAATAGTAAATCAGCAGGGCGGTCCTTCGGTGACTCGCTGAACTCTTGTGCTCGTAAACATAGTCCGACTGCGTTAAAAGTTTTAAACAAAGTCGCTGTAAGTCCTTCATTTGCACAATCTTGTGGACTGAGCACACATTTGATAAAACAGAGTTAAATCTCATGGCATCCATTTTCAAGCTCTCTGTTTGTTTCCTTGCGGACGAGAAAAGGAGGAAAGGAGTTTAGATAAGAAATTGTGCCATCTCGTTATCTTGTTCTGTTTCTGAAACTTTATTTCTTGTAAATAGGGTAGGCAAAAATATGCTGTTGCTTCAGCTTACGCCTTTTTGCCCATACTTAATATAGAAATCCTAATTGTATGTATGTATATATCATGTTCTGTTGAATGGACGAATAAAAATGACTACTACTACTAAGTGAGGAAAGTGAACAAAGAGTTAAGATCAAAAGGGAGTGAGACCAAAGAAGCTTGTTACATAAGGTAAAATAATTTTTCTTTAGCTCTTTTGCAGAAACGTTTCCTGATGGTTTGTGTTATTGTTCACTGGTGCACAGTAAATATGCTCTGTTCTCTCAGCATTGGATTGTGTTGTTAATGTGCTAAGATAGTTTCCCAGTTTCTCTTTTGAATGAGAATTACAGACTACTGTCATCTGCTGGTGTGGGGAGGTATTTCCTGTCAAGCAGGCGCTGGTAGGTCATCAGCTGTACTCTTTGCAGTTTGTTCATGTGTAACTTTTTGGCCGAGACACAGGCAACGTGAGGCGATGCAACAGTTGACTTTCGTGGCTGGTAATTCTTGAAGTTGGTTTAGCATATCTGGGGCTGAAGAGACTAGCTCAAACTAAGATGTATAACGTGATAGACACATCATTACATAGTGCACATTGTCAAACCGTGAAGTCTTTAATTTGCCTGTTTCAAACCCTTTTTATGGCCAGAGGCATTGTGTTTTTGGGCTTTCTACCTGTCTGTATGTCCATATGTCTGTCTGTCCCATTCTTGTGAACACGATATCTCAAGAACGCCTTGAGAGAATTTCTTCAAATTTGGCACAAATGTCCACTTGGACTCAATAATGAACCAATTAGTTTTTGGTTGTCAGAGGTCAAGTTCACTCTGACCTTACATCTGTCTCTTTCTCCTGAACGCAATATCTGAAGAACACCTTGAGGGAATTTCTTCAAATTTGATACAAACGTCCACTTGGAATGAGTCATAAACTGATAAGAATTTGGTTGTTGAAGGTCAAAAGTCAAGGTCAGTGTGACCTCACAAAACATGTTTTTGGTCATAACTCAAGAATTCATACACTGATTAACACAGAATTTCACACAAATGTTTAATAGGATATCATGATCAAGTGATTACATTGTATGTCCAAAAGGTCAAAGGTCAACATTATAATAATCTGCATAAAATACTTTTCTTGGGGATTCTTGGATGATTTATGATTTGGTAAATTATACAGAACAAACAAAACTGTTGAGTGATGCAGCCAGTGTTATGTGTGAACCATGTGGATCAAGATGAATGCGATCAGAGGTATACAGTGCTTGATCCTGCCTGCTCCACAGCAGTCAGCACACAGAGGTGAAAACATTAGCAGTTTGTCACATCACCCACATTTCATCTTCTGCTGGTTGGAGATTAAACATGAAGCTGTGGCTGTAAATGGTCTAATCACAGGTGATGTCCGTAATAGAACATCTAATCTATTTTAAGAGTGAATATCAGTTGAGATCACATGAGTGTGTTGTGTTAGCAGCCACAGTCCCATATCACACAGATGAATTCTGCTGTCGTTTTCTGTCAGGTGCCTCCTGCTGAAGCAGCCTCTGGCCAACAGCAGCCACTGAGTAAGTCTGTCATCTTGATGTCTTCTACTCTGCTTTGAATACTGTAGGGATAGCATAAATCCATTTGTCTGTCTATTATGTGTCGGTCGCTCCACCACTTTATCTCATCTATTGGATGGGCTGTCATGACATTTTGTACATTGGCTCAGATCCTCCCCACAGGATGAGCTGTATAAACTTTTATGATCCTCTGACTTTTCAGCTTGCGCCATCTTCAGGTCAAAATTTGAATGTGTCCAATACTTTGAGTTAATAACCAAATACTTGCAGAACTAAGGGACTGTTCTTTATCATAGGAGGAGGGTGGCTGGGGTGTGACTTTGTTTTTTTTATCGTTTTGTTTTGTTTTTTGACCCTCCCCAAAGCTAGCCTTGAGCCTCTCTGAGTTCCTGGTGGAAAATACATGGCCCTCCTTCCATCTTAAATTAGTTATTATATTTTTAAAACTTAACCTTTGATGTTTGAAATTTAAAAGCTGAAGACAAAATCCTAGAGTTGAAACAGCCTCGGTTTTTAACTCTCATCATGCATGTTGGTTAGTTTATTTTTGGACAAATTTTAAATGAGGTGCACAGGAAGAATGAATTTTGAAAAATTCCCAAATCTGAAAAATTGTGCAAAATTTTGTAACTTAAAGAGTAGCAAAACCCTCAAACCACTTTTTTTCCAGCCAAAAAAAAAAATGTGAAGAAGGTCAAGATGTGATTATTAGTAGTGTTGTTGATTAATTCAGGTCCAAATCTTGACATTTGACTGCAGAGCATTTGGATTCTACAGATTGCGTTATACATGTGCATAGTGACTGTCTGCCCTCTACTGGTTGAAACCTGGCTATTGCAGTAATTTTTTCACATTATAGAGGCATTATATTGAATTTCCAGGGCAGAAGCACTTCATCAGGAACAATGGGTGATAGTTACTCTTCAAGGTTTGTCTAGTAAATGAGTCAGACTAAGTGATGTTGTAAAGTTCATGAAATGTAGCTGAAGTTGATGTCTCTGTCTATGTGTCCACAGGCTGTGAGTACGAGGAGGTGAGTGAAGCCATGTTGGAGGTGGTTCCACTCAGCATGCGCTCCAACATTAAGCTGGCTGACCTCAATGTGTTCTACCAGCAGCTGCAGCAGCACCTTAGCAAAGACAGGTTAGAGAGCAACTCCAGTGAGCCTGGTGGAGCAGAGCTTACTGACACATGGAAACATGTTGGTTAGAATAAAGTGGCTCATTCTGAGAGAGCGAACTGACACAAACCTTCATATTTGTTTCCTATTTCAAAGATTGTAGCTGATGTGACATATGGCCTCACTCAGCTTGTACATGAACCAAAAATGTTAAGATTTATGAAGTGTTGGGCAAGTAATATAAGTAATATATTACATATTACTAGGTACCTTCATTTAAAGTAATAAGTTACTTTACAATGTTACTCTCTATATCTAAGGGATAATGTATAATGAGCCGGTGAATACTGGGAAAATAACTCCCGACAGGGGAATAGAACCCCGACGCGCAGCGGAGGGGTTTCATTTCCCTGAAGGGAGTTATTTTCCCAGTTCATCATACATTATCCCGCTTATTACACGGCTAATTATCAGTTAAATAAATAATGTTGTCTGCCTCTGCGAAGTGCATTAAAACCGACCGGATTCGACAACTTTTGGTGAAAGTTTTGTACTCACCCAGGCTTAGTGGACTGAACCGAGGCATAAAACTTGCGTAAAATGTCATTAAGCATGACAGCCGAGTGTGTATTCAAATCCGTCTTCTTTTGTTTTTGGCAGAGAAAGTCCGCAGGTATTCTTTTTCTTCAGCGGCATCCGTTAAAATCAGCCACTTCTGTTTGTTTTTTCCCTCGGAAGTTGTTTGACAGCTGCAGTGTTGCAGGGCAGCATCCCTAGCAACGCTGGGCTAGATAGCAACTGTGTGTAATGACCGTTGCTACTAGCAGCGGTCATTACACAGTAATATCAGACCGCAGAATGCCGCTACTGACCAATCAGAATACAGCATTTAATAGAGCCGTGTAATAAAGAGTAATAAGTTACTTATTACACTACTTCTGTGTTACTTTGACCAAAATGAGCTCAGAAGAACTAATGTTCATTTTAAATGGATGAGGGTCATGTTGTTTCACAGCAGGTAATGAAAGCACAGAAGCTCCAGTTTATTACAGTTAATTTTTAACAAACAGAATAGCATGCGAGTCAGTCACTGTGACAAGCGAAAATTAATACACCAGAGCTGGAAGACCGACCTGTCAACTCTGGGTGTGCTGGTCAGCCACAACAGCACAGGAGAGAGAGTTATGCGTAAGAACTAGACTGTGTGCTGGCGTTGCTCTGCAGTTGTAGGGGATGTGAACTAACATCATCCAGATGTGCCAGTCATCACAACAAGGAAATAAACAAAGTGGAGACCAGGGCCTGTATTCACAAAGAATCCTAAGACTTAGGGCTCATTTATGCTCCCTTTACATACAAAAATGTATACGTCCGTTTCAAATGATGTTACCGTCACTGCCCACATACTTCCATGCGCCCTTTACGTTGGCATGGATGTTAACCAATATATCCACCAGGAGGCAGCCCAGCGTCAAAAGTTTATAACAACAAACTCAAAAACAAACATGGCGACTGTGGAGGAGATACTGATAATGTACCTCTTGCATAAAAGACAAAAACAGAGGCAGCGTTGTAGGAGGCGGTGGTCGGTGAGGCCGTTAAATAAATCGAGACTAGAGGACAGAGAATTCTTTTCTCTAGTACTGCCGATGAGAGAAATTAAATTGTTATTTCTTCTTCGTGTCTCACTAGAGCTACGTATCCGGTAGAGTCAGCAACACTGCCCCCACGGTTCCCAGTGGTACTGCTCCGTTTGGCCTGTATCCGTAAGCTTTATGGAAACGTGCAGAAATACGGACGAAATGAACGCAGAACATGGACAGAAGGCTCCGTCCGTATCAGGATTTAACGTTGAGCATAAATGAGCCCTAAAAGTAGCTCTTAGTGACGTTATTATATTATAAAATCTTAGAATTCGAGGAATTCTAAGATTTTTCTTAGAATTTTCCCTTGGTAAGATAAAAGTTATTCACAAAGCATCTTAGGCCGTAAGAGAGCTCCTAAGGTGAAAACTGTTAAGAGGAGGGAGGAGGACTTTTAAGAAGCCTAAGAGTGTCTTAAACAAAGAAGATGGCGGAAAGACAGAGAGGAAGGAGAGATATTCTCCGTATATTGAACGACAGTGATTTAATAAGACGCTACCGGCTTGATAGTGCAGGGATAATGTTTGTGGTTGACCTCATCAGGTGATGAGCTTACTTTTCCCACCAGCGTAGTAACGCAATAACGCCCGCTTTGGGTTGCAGCACGTACCAGCGCTTCTCACACTCATCGGCACACTCAGCTGTGCCAACAGCAGGCACTGCTCTTCTGTCCAGTTCGGCTTTCTCGTTCTTTTTTTCCTCCATTTCATTCACTGTTTTGGTCATTCTGCCAAATCAAACCGCTTTCAGCAATCACAGTAATTGCTGACAGCTGAGTTTGCGTCCACCATTAATATCAAATAGATTAAGTAGTAAAATTACCAGCATGTCGAGTAAACATAACAATAAGCAAATCAATATAATAATTGGCATGTGAATGAGGTACATTCAAACTTTTTGAAGCTGTGTAACAATTAATTTAATTTTTCTGAGTTTCATCATCATGACATAAAATTATTTTCATGATTACACATTTCTTAATACAGTCTAAGTTCTATGATCGGTTGATTTCACTGTCCATTCATTACTAGGAGCGCATTTGTTTATCTTTTTTTTTTTTTTTTTTTCCTTTGTAACAACCAATCACAGCTTTTAGAAGACTCCATCATACCTAGCAACGGGGTCAACCACACCTCCTCACTAAGATAAAAGTTTCTGTCCCCTCCTTGCTCAGAGTTGCTCTCAGAAACTTCCTGAATCACTCTTAAACTAAGATTCCTTGCTAGGAATTTTTAGGCTAAGTTAGGAGCTCTCTGACAGGACTCTGAGAATCTTTGTGAATACGGGCCCAGCTCTTTATCCCCGCTGCTTTCAGGCAGCCTTAGGATGCAGAAGTAGAACGGGGTACATTGTACATCGTATATTATGGAAACACACTGTAGGGCGTCACCCAGCTGTGCCGATCACAAGCATTCTGTCATGATGTAGTCTGTAGCAACCACAGAGTGTATAAATAAGGTAGTTGCATGACAACATACAACAACCATCGGGGGATGTTTTTTCTGGTGGCGCACTGGTGAAAGTGGAGCGATGTGGATCAGTGTGGATGAATGAAAAATGAAAACTATAACAGTCTATATCAAGTGGTAATGTGACATTGTTAATGTAATTACTCCAAATCCTGTTGGTAATGCGTTATATTACTTTATTTCTGCTAAAACATAATGTTTTACTGAAACACGTTACTTTTGTAACACGTTATATTCTTTTACATTTTTTAAGAAGGTTAATATTTATACTGGTGCTACTGTTTTTACAAATGCTGCTTTAATAGGCAGTTCTTTATAGAAACTTATCAGGATTATTTGATTAGTATGTAATTTTTATGATAAATAAAAATGTATTGATTGATCAAACATTAAATGGGACATTGTGTTGCATCACTGAATTGAAAGTACTTTCATTGAAATTATGAGCTATTACATTGCCTTTGTGTCTCCTCTGTCCTGTGCAGTGGCTCCCTCAGTATGCAGAAGATAAAGCAGTTGAAGATGAAGGTGAGCGATACCAAGCTGAAGGTCTTGCAGCACCTTTCTTTAGTGGAACTGGACAAGAAAGGCCACGTTCGCCTCATCATGTGAGGAGAATCAACAGTTGCAGACTGTTGAGTGGGTGGGTGTTGTTACTGCTGCATTTGGCTGCTCCTGCCTCTGAACCTGGAGTATTGAGGATGAGCTTACTGAAGAATCAGACTGCAGAGGCTTTGGGGCCATGAGCACACCAGACAAGCCCAGTCCAGATTTCCCAGAAGAATATACAACCATTTTTAGATCAGAAACATGAGTATCAGCACATGTATCGAAACATTTCATACCCTAAGAGAAGTCTTCTTCTCTCCTACAGCTGATAACGCACAGCTCTAGAACAAAGTCACATTATTAGAGTTGTGATAATTGCATGGACGTCATTCTTGATAAATGTCTTCATATATCTGCATATCGGTGATGCTGATATTCTTTTGTTATACAGCAGTTTGACTGTCAGTAAGTCAAAGGGGAGATATTTCTGTAACCCAAAGGAGCAGTATTAATGTCATTAACGGGCACAGGCTAACAGTTTCTAACAGTTACATTCACCTTTACACCTGTGGACAATTCAGTGTCCATAACATTCAAGATGTTTTTGATGAGAGGAGAAAAATCTTGAAGATTATGGGCATTAACATCTTTCGCTTAGACCTGTGTAGGGCTGTAACCAACCTAAGAAAATCCCGGTCAACTGAAATTCTACCTGCTCTTCAATTAATTGATTGGTTAGTGGAGAAAAAATTCTGCATGTTATCTCTAGAGTAACTTAATTGCCACAGTGCACTGAGTGCACTCTACCTGGCGGCTTTGTGTGTTCACCAAAGTGTTTTTTTTTTCCTGTTGCAGAGCTCGACATTAACACTTGCCCAGGGCAAGTTAACTCTGTGTTCAGGCTAATGGAATGCCTCAAGTGAAAAATAAATGTGATGTCCACTGTAATATTATCTAAAAAAATAAAGTGTGCACTGTAATGCTTTGCCAGCTGGGCTGCATGCGTAGCTTTATGGTAGATGTTCTTCCTGCAGGGTACCCGCGGATCCTTGAAAAGTCTTAAAAAGTCTTAAATTCATGTATCTAAAAGTAAGGCCTGAAAATGTCTTAAATTCATTAGAAATGTCTCAAATTGGTCTTAAATTCATTACTCAAAGGTCTTAAAAGTCTTGCGGAAGGAATATTTAATCTGACTTTATTTCTTTTCTTTTTTTATTCTCGCGGCACTTTCTGTGAGTATCCATGCGCCGTCCAATAACAGCGCGCGCTGGTGGTAGCACATACACAATGAATGGGTTCGTCGGCGGAGGTCTGCGCTTTGCGCGCTCTGTGTGAAAAGGGCTTAACGGCGCGAGCTAGCCACCTAGCACTCAATATGCTACTGTAGTAGTTTGTTTTCCAGACATGTGAGTATCTTTGAGCAGTGAAAGTTATTATTTATGACTTTTTACTTGTCGGCAGTGATTTGTTTTCCACAGAGCTCTACGAGCGAGCATTTTACTAGAATTTGAGACTAAAAATAGTTTTGTGCCAGCAAAATAAATCATTCAGCATGCTGTGGGAGTACAGATTTCAACCAGCAGCAGAAACGAAAGGCGAATCATGCAGGTTGTGGGTTGAATGGGGTTCACAGACAGGAATACGGTGGTCAGATAGCCTACGGCGGCTCTGCGGCGCAAAATAACGGCTTACCGGCGACAGAGAAGTCCGACTCCAGGTCCAGTAGCCTAATTTCCTCTTTTGTTGGTGTCATGACTGCCGTTCACATCTCTCTCTGTGGCAGGTAATGGTCCACAAACCTCACCGCACTTTAGGGACTGTTCTTTACTTATGGAGGGACTGTTCTTTACTTATGGAGGGACTGTTCTTTACTTGTCAGGGGAGGAGGGTGGCTGGTTGATTTTTATTTTATTTATTTATTTTATTTCAATCCCCCTATGTTAATCACTTATTGATGCTGTTTTTGAAGTATGAATAAGTCAATAAGTAATTTATTCCATTGAAATATCATTGATGTATTATCGTAAAGTGATTTATCTTTTTATAAATGACAAAAGGAACATCTGCCTCATTTTTGCTGTGGTATCGTGATACTACTCAGAACCGTGATACTTTCACTAGCATCGTACTGTGGGTCCCAATTTTGGTACCGTGACAACACTAGATGTCACAACCATTCCACCCAGAGTTGCACAGTGAAGCGGTTCTGGTGCCACTTAAAAAAGTGTTCCCCCACTTCTAATTTTACAAATTAAGCACTGGTTATAGTACAGCGGGATCCCCCAACTATCGCTTATATTTATAGTTTTTTCGGTTTTAAATTCCATTCAAGGTGGCATTAAAAAGGTCTTAAAAAGTCTTAAATTTGACTTACTGAAACCTGCAGATACCCTGTCTTGAGCCTCTCAGTGCTGCCTGGTGAAACTGATACCTTCTTCCTGACCTCAGTAGGTAGAAAAAGCAGTTATCCTTGTGGTTGAGATCTTTAATGTTTCTCCTGGCCTTATTTTTGTAGTGTTTGGAGTAAAAGTCTTTTTATGTAGCATAGCGCAGTGCCTATAGAGTGTTCAAATAAAGGAACCACTCTTTGCGGGGCCTTGTGGTCCTGTTAGGTGCTGTTTACGTACCAGGCAGTGATGTGTCCGTCAGGATGCACTCTATAGTGCAGGAATATAAATTCCTTAGTATTTCAGGGGATACCCGGAATTTCCACAGGTGTCTCAGGTCAAAGAGTCTCTGCCTTACTTTTCAGCATGCAGTGCCCAGCTACAGGTACTTAAGGGTATACACCCTCTCCACCGAGGACCAATTTATATTTGATTTTTGGAATTAAAATTTAGAGTTGAAAAATGTTTAACTGTGGATAAAAGGCTGCACTCGTCAGTGTCACCAGCCGTCCAATCTCAGTGAAGAAGGGGCAGGACAAGACCACAAAGAGCAACTGTCAAAGAGGAAAAATACAAGTGCTGAACGACAACAACCAATATTTTCAGCTGTGAAAAGAACTCTTTGGTGGACACGTGGCCTTATTAAAGTAACACCAGTGATTGTACACCCAGTGGTTGGACAAAAGCATATTGACCAACCAGTCGAACAACTGACCAGAAGGTGACAGCCCAAGACTTGTGTTCCCCTGTGGAGAGGACAGGGAGGGGACCCTGTGTGCTGTTTAAGTGGAAAGATGGTGTTGTTTTAAAATCAGATGGTGTCTTTGGAATATTTTTATTTCCTTAAACATCCTTAAACAGCACAATATGAAACAAAAACTTTTTGAGTTTTGATCCTGATGACTCAGTGGGCCTCCTTTAAACTTGCTACACAACAAAAGATCTGAGTACATCAAAAGGACATCTGAAGGCATTTGAATACATTCTTTTCAAATAATTACAGCTCTGACTTTAAACATTCAATCCATAAAGCAGCTTTTGTAACACTTTGAAATGTACCAATAACAAACATTGCATAGAAACAGCTAACCAGTAACAAACTTTCCTGTAGATGGCACACTGATAACAAAACAAACACATAACAGAAAGAACTCCTTTGACTGTTTTTTGGCTTATTCAGAGTCTGGTACTGCTCCAGCACGCTCCTCCTGTATCCACAAACACACAGAGTGGAAAAGGCACAGGTAATGAATTTTCAAAGCAGGCTGTTCTCTCAAGCTTGGAGCAAAACCACAGCTCACTCACTTATACCTTTTTTCATTACCCACTTTCGGCCAAGCCAAGTCAAACCATGCTGCACCGATTTGTCTTTCCATTACCAGTTAAGACGCACCAGGCCATGCTGTGTTGAGCCATGCCAGAGATGGACGTCCTCCAGAGTAGGACCAAAAGTGTAACCCCTGATGAGCCCCCTTCTCCCCCTGAAACAAGTGTGTGTTGCTAGACTGAACTCACCTCTGTCTGCAGGAGACCAGAGAGAAAGATGTTTTTCAAAGTCTCTGTTCAGCTTTCAGTACTTTTGCAAGTTCTTACTGAATCTCTGTGGTTTGAGGTTTAGTTTCTCTGTCACATCCTGTTTGTACTTTAGATATCTGCTTTGTTTTATGTTGCTTTCAGCTGTATGGAGTCATGTTAAGACATTCCTTATGCTACTTCACAATAAAAGCTTTCACATAAAATAATGGGTGCTTTTACTGTGAAGAATCTATGGGAAATTAAATATGTTTACCACTGAATTAGCAGAACTTTGTTAGTGGCCGCCTTCAATAGATACAAGTCTACTAATACCACAGGGAGGAAGAGTAAAAGCAGAAACAGCCACAGTGAGATGATGATGAAGAGCTGCAGACAACAGGCTCTAACTGCACCTCTGCAAACAGCTCACCTCCAACAGGTAAACTTCATTTACCTGCCCTGCTGTATGATGGAAAAACACTTACAAAATAACAGGGGACTTTAGCTGTGGATCAGCCCACTGCTTTCAAACATCATCACTCAAGACAAGATGTCATCACTTAAAGACACCTTCAAGCTGGTAGCCTTGTTGTAATGAAAATGCAAATGCTGGGCTGACATGCTGAGTCAAACCAAGCTAAGACATGGAAAAGGGGTATTCAATCTTTCAAGTGCCTCATTGAATCATTGCTCACATCAAATGTATACAGCGTGTTATGGAAAACAAGGTTTGTCTAGTCTTACACTTAGGATATAAAGTCTGCTTTGATAAGAGAGCAAGAAACAAAATGAACTGATGTGTTTAATAACTGATAAAAATATCAATCGTAATGGTGGTTGACAGATAAATGGGATTAGTTAAATGTGACAGGGGTGCTATAAATACTATCCGTGTTTAATGACATCTGCTGTAGAACACTGATGTCTGCAACATTGTATGTCTTTCCTGAGGCCTATACTGTGAAGCCAGTTCACCTTACCCAGAACACCTTTCTGTTATCTGGCTTCACGAACTAACATTAATCATCACGATGGTGGTTATCAACTCGCTCTGTCAGCTCTGGGTTTTCCTATCCAGCCACAAACATGTTGATGTGAAAGAGGCAGAGTTGTCTATTATGAGCAACATCATCAGAACCATGGATGAAACTACTTCAGATAATATGAGATGAAACTGTGGTACTATTTACCTATGGTAATGTTCCGTTTATGGGACAGCAAAAACTCATATTCATCTGAGAGAAATGTAAATGGTAGGCTAGAATCTTACAACAAAATAAGGAAATGTAGAAACATTAGAAATAATTTCCAAATATTAAAGGTAGGCCAAGGCTTAAAATACTGAGTACTGGGGCAAAACATATCCTATGAAACACACTAATTTAATTTCTGGGGCGACACTATTTTTAAAGGATTTATATGTATTTAATAAAAATGATTTGTAATGGGTTTTTTTTTAAAATCTGCTTTCATTTTTTTAACTTCTAAACTTGCCCTGTGCCAGAAAACAGCCTTGTCCCAGACAAGAACTCACAGCTTCAAAGAATTAAACAATGTATTTAAAGCCTACAAAATCTAAAAATAACAGTACATACTGATAACATCAGTGTGAGAGTGTACTGCTATAGTCATCTTTGTTTTAAAATGTTTTTTTTTTATCAAAATGTTGGGCCTGTAAAGCTGTGTACCAGATTTTTGTCAGTTTCTACAAAAACATCATATAATCAGGTATAAAAGGGCTTAGCAACATCACAAGGACGTCATGGTTTCCCAGAAGGTGGGAATGCTGCTGAAGTGGTAAACTTTATAATTTTTTTTTTTTTTTTTAATTCATCGAATAATGTCCGTAGCCCTTCTAAATCCAAACTAATAAGAATTATTCCCTCCTGTACCTTTCTAATGATAGAGAGGGTCTTGTGTGCCCTAATCCACTTTGGTATTACTGGGCAGCTCAATTCAGGACAATGATGTTTTATTTTTCAGATAAATCTTCTCCTTCTTGGATGAACATTGAACACTGCTTTGTCGCATTGCCTCTCCCTCAGTATTTATACTCAACAACAGTTAAAATCTAAAAA